TTATTCTGCTAAAAATTGGGGATATAACTCAGGTTGGGATATAACACAGTGGAGATATAACCCAGGTATGACTGTAGCTGTAGTGTTTAGACCCGTCTAAAAAAATCACCAACCGGGTGAAAACCGGGTCAACTACAAAAGTTATACACCGGGTCACCCAACGGGCTATTAGTCACCCGAATGGAAGTTGAACTGAAAATGGGATCAATTGAAAAGTCAAACCCGTGTCTTTTAAAGTTGTTACCATAAACTTTGGAGCACCTGATAAAAATTAGTGAATGATTTTTTGGCGGATTCAATTAAATTGGTGATTGGTGATTTCGGCATAATGGTATGTAATTTAAGTTCAGATAATTAAGGCCACACAAAGTTAAATATTCATTTTGCATTACCTGCTTAAAGCAAAAAATATTTAATAATTTTAATGAATCTTATTCAAAAAATTAATACTTATTTAATCAAAATATGAATATCAGAATATTTCGGGTTGCAATTTAGAGTTAGAGTTCATAATAAAAGAGTGTGTTATCATTATGTGGATTTAGTATATTTCGAATTAAGACTGCGTATTTGCACACTTCCGTTATTTATTAAACTGCAAATCCTATATTTTGGCATCCGATTTTAGCATTATCCCTGACATTTATTAAAACATTACATAGTTAAATAACGCTTTCGTGTTAAAGCAAAAAAAAACGAAAAAGGTGATTCATTATTCCACAAAATTAAAAGTGTTTCATATAGTCTACTATAAGCTTTTGCTAAGCAATGCTGGCACTAACAAAATACTAGGGATGACATGTGATTTAAATACAATGAGATTTTTATTTAAATCTTTTGTTATTACGCTTTGCAAAAAGAAAACATTATGTTATGTTGCATCGGAGATTCTGTGGATTTAATTACGTAATAAAGATCAAATCTATACCATTCAATTCTGAGTTCGTACGCTTTAACGCTTTTAATTGGTTGTATCCGAATCCAAATGACTGAAAATGTGATTTATTCATATGAACCTGAGAATGTCAATGTATGCCGGAATTATATCATAATCCAAGGTAGTATAATGAATTAATCTTCTCCAGTAAGCAATGAAATCAAAGGTTCAGGTGGTTGATTAATAGCTGGTAATCGTACCTTCCCATTTACACAACAGGTACTAAATACTGGAGCAGATATAATGCCAGGCACTTTTTCTTCTATCTAATGTAGTGCACCACAATGTAAACATTCCACATTCATTGATCCTAGATAATGACAGTTAACAGTAGTAGTATCATATGTTCGCATACGGGTAGTATTAGAAGCACATCTTTGTTGATTATGATACATATATGCCATGTGTCGATTCTTATGCCGACATTCAATCTGTTCACTTGACTCAGCTTCAGTACAAAGCCTATAGGCTTCACGTTGTCGGGCACGTTGATATTCAAGTTGTTCAGCTGTAAGTAATGATCTTCGGCATGCATAAGATTCTCTAGCAAGACGATTTCTATGATCTTTTGGTGTTTCCAAAGTAGTCATTTAAAAACAATACAGTGGCAAAATTAAACAGGTATTTATGACTTGGTATGTTAAGTTGAAATTACTGAACATGAAGGTGTTATTTTTTTTTATTTTTTTTTATTTTTTTTTTTATTTTTTTTTATTTTTTTTTATTTTTTTTTTATTTTTTTTTATTTTTTTTTATTTTTTTTTATTTTTTGTTATTTTTAACTAATGTTTCTTTTTTTTTTCTTCTAGGTTGTTGAAGTCTACACAATCGTCATTTTTTGAAATCTTTGTGAATTGGGTGAGTGATTTG